AGGGGTAATGGCTTCTTAGTGGCGGAGACATACAGAGGGTGGATTAGGGACAAAGGTTGACCAAGAGAAAGGATGGAACAGGAACACAGTTCTTAGTATTCTTTTTAATAAAAGTTTTACGAAACTTGGAACACAGCCTCATGTAGATTTTATGTGGTGAAGACTAGTAGAGTGTGTAGAGTTACAAGAGAGAAAAAAACACAAAAAAGAGAAAGGGGAGAGATAATAATAAGGACGATACATGTATGTTTGATAGGAAAGAAGGAGCAAACCACGCCAGAGTACGCGCCAATCACCCATAATTCTGTCAATAAAACATGATGTTATAGAAAAGGTAGTGTATTCAAACCCGCCTTACCACCCCATATACTTCCCCCAAACCAATCCACATAATAGGACGTTTAGCTATGCCAAATATTACTAACTACACTAGATTCTAGAGCGACCCGTCGGCGTTATGTCTGACAAGGTGTGTGTGTGTGTGTGTGTGTGTGTGTGTGTGTGTGTGTGTGTGTGTGTGTGTGTGTGTGTGTGTGTGTGTTATAAACCGTTGTCGCTGTAGTTATTCATCAAGCAGAATCTGAGCTCCTCTACTATAGACAAACACTCAACTTCGCACACGGGTAGAGACCAGAATTAGGCTAATGTCTTTTTGATTGATCTCTTCAGGTGGCTACATCAGAAATTAGCACATGGCCATCTATCTTACTACGAGCGCTGTATGCTGCTATCGACCTCAGCCTAGACTACTCGTTTATACCTTACCAGCTCTACTTACTTCATGCCGGGGAGAAATGGTATGGATTTAACGCCCCTATCAACACAGGTAGGTATTTGGTCGCTTTTGAGTACAAAAGCGGGCTAACCCAGATTTCGGGGTTTCCAGAAATCTTGACCTACGCCAAAAGTGGTTATTGCCCTACCTATTGGAGAAGTTTGGTTTCATTGGTGGGTATATATATATATTTGTTTGGTTATAGAGAAAACTCTCCTTATCTTGTAAAGAAACTGAACATGGGTAAAAAAACAACTTTTCCTTCGATTTTCCATTTACGAGGCGGGACCTCCGAGTTTAACGTCCATTTCCGAAAGGACGGAGCTAAATGAGAAATTCGTGTAAAGTGTGTTTCTCAATGACACAATGTTGGACCGAGCTAAGGCTCGAATCTCCGACCCCACAATCTCACGATTACGAGTCCGGTACGTAACCACCACAAAGAGTCTACATAACAAGAGGGGCCACTTCTCTCTTTGAGCCAATTAAAAAAGTGTCCTCAAAATTCGGTGGCGCCCTCTTCGCAAATGCACACCCTTTGCGAACAGAGTTATCCTACTTGAGTTTTTAAAAATCAAGGGGAAACTAGCAAGTTTTTGAATAAATTTCGGAAGAACGCTTTTTTTCAATGGTTACCCTGACAAAAAACCTCTTCCGGTGGAAAGGGTGATCGTTTTCTTCGTTTA